ACGCTGTGTCTGCTGAAACCTTATCCTTCTTGATCAGATAACAAGAATCCCACATCTTTCTATACTGTGCAGGGCATTCACCTTTGTTTTCTTGTCAATGAGTGATAAAATATGGACAAAAAATGTAATCAAGATAGAAATTCAGAGAGACTCTTTAAATCTAGACATATAGTGAAAATCAAACATAACAGATTAAGAAACGGCCTATTACTTTAAAAGTTTTGTGTAAATTTCTTAATATTATTAATTATTATGCTTCCTGTCAGTTTGTCTCTATATAACCCATACCCTACTATTCTCGCATAGTGATCTAAGGATTTATATAGCGTAAACATACTATGCCGAAATAGTGCACGGCTTTATTTTCTGAATAAAATTCTTCTATGCACACACCGGGAATCGAACTGATGCCTTACCGATTACGCCACAGAGACGATCACTAATTGGTTGAATTTTATTAAATATATAAACTTAATTTATACAATTGACACAAGAAGGAGAAAATAGACAAATATTATTTGAAAACAGTTATATTTATTCTAAGGAATCTTAGATAAATGTGTACAACAAAGTTTCAAACTAATTACATACAGATCGTTAGATGAATTGATATCATGGGGTCATTAAAACGCTTTTTTATATAGCGCTTGATTGAAGGATGTAAAAGAAAATTATCAATGAGAATCCACGTCTGTAAACAAATCAGTCTTACTACCAAAACAGAAAATAAAGATGAGTATCTTTGGGACAGAAAATTCTGACTTATTTAGAGAAAATATTAGTAACCAAAATAACTAAGCATGCAACTAATTTTAGCATGAAGATTTTGAATGAGTTTTTGCAAGTGCGCCGTGTTACCACCATTATTTTCAGGAAAAAATCAAATGGATTACCGCATAAATAATAACAACAGTCAGCATAATAATAACAATAGTGTTGCATTATGCATGTACTATGCCTAAATAGTAGGCAGGGTTTGACACATAGTGCACTCGCCTCCGGCTCGTGCACCATGTGTCAAACCCTGCCTACTATTTAGGCATAGTACATGCATAATGCAACACTATTATATAAATATCTGTATTCTCTTTTCTTTTATACTCTGCACGTGTGCACTTTAATTTTTTTATTAGCTGCAGAATTGTAGCGTAGTTTTATAGATTAGTTATCACAGAATAAAATACTTCTTTAATTAGATTTAAACTAAATACCTCCAACGATTTCCACTGCATCGATTTCTACCCAAGATGGAGAAACGGAACAATCAACTTCTATTCTCAGCTCGTTCACAGGAAAATTTACTTTCTGAATTTAATGAGGAGCAATTAAGAACTATTAAAATGATATACGATATTATGATCTTCGGATCATTTTTGCAGATTAAGAAGCGTGAAGAAGAGCAAATCATCACTATATTTTCAGCTCTTTATCATAGTCCTTTCTGTAAGTTTTCCAACATTTTCCATAAGATTCTTTCTTACCCTAACACAAGACAAATTTTAAGTAACTAAGAGAGAGAAAAAAATCATTGCCATATGTATACCATGATTTTTTAAAAACGAACAATCAGTTTGTACTAGAGTACTACTAGTACTTTGATAAACATACAATTTTTGTTTTAAAAACAACTCACTTTTAATTTGGGTGAGAATTTCCGAGCCTTTCTGATGAGATGTACACGGAAAACCTTAAAAATTTCCATCCACTGGTTTTCTTTATCCCTCGCCAGTATTCTCTTGACAGTTCCGGCATTATATGTTTCATAAATATTAACTTCAGTTAGCCAAACCTTTTCTGGAAATCTAACCTGGAAATGTAATAAAAACATACCTAAAATATTGCGCTTTTATATAAGCTTTGAATTTGTTTGTTTCTTTTTTTTTTTACTTTTTTAAAAGAGACTTTTTTTGCAGTGAGAACTTTTTCAACTGGATTGATCGTCATCGTTCATCACGGTGCATTGACTTTTCAAAATCTGTTTTGACCATTCCATTTTTTTTCTGCTTAGGCTCCATCAATCGTTCATAAACCTACCTATACCTCTTCGCAAAAAACACGCAAACCAAAACATAAAACACAGACGAAAAGTCATAAAAATGGCGCTGTTCAAAGCATTTTTATCTCCTTGAATTGTATTCCTAAAGAAATATCTATTCTTATCAAAATCAAAATCTTAAATGTTTAAAATACATGTACACATAATGTAACGTCCTGTACAGATTACTTAGAGACATTGACAAAAATTAATCAATTTTGATCAACAATGTCATTAAGGAGGAACAGGACCTTTAGCTGAAAAAATTCCTGTCAATGAATTTTTTTCGTATTTTTTATATTACTAATTTAATATGTACTTAACATTTTAAAACGGTCCTGTCATGGGATTTCACCTCCCCGTGTTAAGCAGGGGAAACGGGTCTTATGCATCTATAGGTTGTACTGTACACGCACATGTGGCTGGCTAACGAAAAGAGGCAATGTAGCGGTAATGTATACTTTTTTTATGTAGCGGTAATGTAAGGTTTTTTGTAGCGGTAATGACTATGTATCGGTAATGAAAATTTTGAAAATGCGTAGCAGTAATGATATGCACCTTAAAAAGAAAACATTGGCATACGAAGCCATTTAAAAAGAAAGAAGCAAAATTATGTAAAAAATAACAATCGCTAGATTAATTTATGGCCATAGTAAAAAAAAAAATTGAAATGGCATTGTACCTGTATAAACTGATTTTCGTTTAGTTGTCCACTTGCCTGGGTCCATGTCCCTGAGGAATCACCATAGCGAGGATAAACATTGGGTTTCCCCAGTATCTGTTTTGCAGAGAACCTGTAAAAAAGCAAAATTTAATGATTGGAATACATAATTTAAGTAATTTTTTAATAAAAATTATATTAATTGCACAGGAAATTAGAAGCTACACTGCTGTTGAAACATGCAAAGACCTTACCCGCCTGTGTTGTATTGTGAGGAAAACCCTGTAACTTCAGAGGCCCATTGGCGTTTGATGGCTTTCGATTCAGGTAAAAAAAAAAGACCAATTTTAATTACTAACATTTAATAAATCGTTTTCTTTTTCCTTCTCATAAATATTTCTTTAAAGATATTAATTTCCTCTTTTTTGAAAGGTAATTTTTTGTATAAATGCTGAAAGTACAATCATTTGTTAAAATTTTAAGTCTCACGAAACTACTGATTGCATCCAAAAATTGAATCAATAAAGATTCAAGTTTCTTCTCATGTGGGCACGTCTATTTGAATGGTGACACTAGAAGACTACCTTCTGAAGACGCCACAGCCAACATGAAAATGCACAGTAGAATATCCATAGCTCCCTACCACAAATAATAATGGCATATGTTGTTAGACTTGTTTTTAAAGTTGATCAATAAATAAATACGTTTTTCGTGAGTCGAAGCTCATCTCATATTTATATAATAGTGTTGCATTATGCATGTACTATGCCTAAATAGTAGGCAGGGCTTGACACATGGTGCACGAGCCGGAGGCGAGTGCACTATGTGTCAAACCCTGCCTACTATTTAGGCATAGTACATGCATAATGCAACACTATTGTTATTATTATGCTGACTGTTAATTATTTATGAGGCAATCTATTTGACTTTTTCCTGAAAATATCGGTGCTTAAACAGCGCACCTGCAAGAACTAATTCAAAATATTCATGCTAAAATTGTTTGCATGCTTAGTTATTTTGGTTACTAGTATTTTCTCTAAATAAGTCGGGATTTTCTGTCCCAAAGCAACACATCTTTATTTTCTGTTTTGTTCGTAAGCCTTATTTGTTTGCAGACGTCGATTCTCATTGATAATTTTCTTTTACATCCTTCAATCAAGCGTCATATAAAAAAGCGTTTTAATGACCCTATAAAATCAGTTCATCTAACGATCTGTATGTAATTAGTTTGAAAGTTTGTTGTACACATTAATCTAAAGTTCCTTAGAATAATATAACTGTTTTCAAATAATATTTGTCTATTTTCTCCTTCTTGTGTCAATTGTATAAATTAAGTTTATATATTTCTTAAAATTATACCAATCAGTGATCGTCTCTATGGCGTAATCGATAAGGCATCGGACTGACAATCTCATGGTCGTCAGTTCGATCCCCGGCATGTGCATGGAAGAATTTTATTCAGTAAATAAAGCCGTGCACTATTTCGGCATAGTATGCTTACGCTATATAAATCCTTAGACCACTATGCGAGAATAGTAGGGTATGGGTTATATAGAGACAAACTGACAGGAAGCATAATAATTCGTTTTAATGTGTGTGTCATGTTTCCACAATATTTCTGAAAAAATAAAACATTTGAAAACTCTTCAAACCATGTTTGACAAACCGGCCAATATCATGTAAAGATTTGCACATAAAGGGGCAAAAATACCAGAATTTTGGTACATAGATGAATGTGTTGAAGTACAAAAAACTATTTTCAGTATTTAGTTCTTCATTAATTTATATTTAATTGTTTTCAGGTTCATACACCAGAAAATGTTTTGTAACAACAGTTATTGAATAGGTTTATACTAGTAATTACATAGTAATTTATGATTAAAATCAGTCCTTGGCCCTCTGACTGATATAAGTTGGATGTGATATAGGAAAGAGTATGCTATATTCTCTATGTATACAATGCCTTGAAATAAACCTCTATTTTTCTCGGAATAAAACATAACATAATATGATCCTAATTGATACGATTTTTGTTGGATTTCAGTAAGACTACTAGTATGTTGACTAGACTGCAATACTTTCTTAATCTGATTTCACTTGATCAAATTGCTAATGTGTTGATCGATTGATTGATTGTTACTGTTTAACGCCGGGTCGGCAATTTTTCAGCCATATTTCGGCGGTGAAATTGTTCAAGTTTGAAAGATAACTTGGGTTTTTCTTGCGGCCCCCAGTGAGCCTACTCTTTTTCGAAAACCAGAAAAACGATCTTTTACGTGCCAAGGGGGTTGTTATCCTTGACACAGGGCACCATTTAACGTCTTATCCGACGGACTGCTCATGTGTTGACGATTTTGTTATTGCCAAACACATAAAACTACAATTGTTGTTTAAAAATACATGTATATTATCTTAGTCAATGAAAAAATAATGATTCAACATGACAAATGAAGCAAAAATATTTTTTTCCCCTTATTTTTATTTTTCATCAACATGCTTTATTACTTTGTAATAAAAAATTAATAAATTGTTATAAGTAAGTAATTGGGGGTACTGTGAAATTATTAAAATGTGTGGGGCCGGGACAATTTTCATGGATAGCTTAAATACAGATTCGTGGGGGCACTTTATTTAGGAGTATTCCCATTCTGCACGAAATAACAAACTAGGATTACAAGGGTAAATTATTTGATAAAATATACATCTACTACATTCTTACCCTTGTAACCCTAGTTTGTTATTTCGCGCAGAATGTTAATTCGTGGATGATGAAGTACCCACCAATTCCAGGAAAACTGAGCCACCGCGAAATTTAATGATTCCACAGCACTGCTGCGGCTCTAATACATTTTGGTAACATTTTCATCGAAATTAAGATCATACAGATGTTTATACAAATTCACTCAAGTATTCTACTGTGTTTTCAGTTCTTTTAGGCGTGAACAGCATAGGGAAATGCAAGAAGTACTGAAATTTATGGCACGCCAAATTCACAAAAATGAGCTAAACCTAGTTTCACAATTGATAAACTAGGTTTATCGACTGTCAATAGTTTACAAACCGTAAACTATTGTTAAAGATTCGTTAAGTATACTTTTCATCTGTAAAACTATATTTAACGGTTGTTAAATATAGTTTACAAATGCTAATCTAAGTTTATCTGTCTTAATAAAACGTTAACAATAGATTTTGTTGATAAACATAGATTCACGTCTGTAAACTATAATTTACGATCGTTAACTATAGTTAAGAGTTGTAAACCATAGTTTACAAATTGTGAAACTGTATTTATCAGATAATCTATGTTTTGCGATCGCAAATGATTGTTTTTGGTGTTAAGTATAATTTACGATTATGAAACATAGATTATCGCGTAAACTATGGTTTACAGATGTAAAATATAGATTAACGTTGTTAACTATAGTTTACAGTCCGTAAACTATGGTTTACAACCGATAAACCTAGTTTATCGAATGTGAAACTATGATAAGCTCATTTTTGTGAATTTGGCGTGCTAAACATAGTTTCACAATTGATAAACTAGGTTTATCGACTGTAAACTATAGTTAACGATTCGTTAAGTATAGTTTTCATATGTAAAACTATATTTACCGGTTGTTAACTATAGTTTACGAATGCGTACCTAAGTTTATCTGTTTGTAAGAAAACTTTAACAATAGATTTTATTGATAAACATAGATTCACGTCTGTAAACTATAATTTACGATCGTTAACTATAGTTAAGAGCTGTAAACTATAGTTTACAATCGTGAAACTGTATTTATCAGATAATCTATGTTTTGCAATCGCAAATGATTGTTTTTGGTGTTAAGTATAGTTTACGGTTGTGAAACATAGATTATCGCGTTAACTATGGTTTACAGATGTATAATATAGATTAACGTTGTTAAGTATAGTTTTCAGTCTGTAAACTATAGTTTACAACCGATAAACCTAGTTTATCGACTGTGAAACTATGTTTTGCTCATTTTTGTGAATTTGGCGTGCCATAGAAATTACTGAATGCCTTTAGCTGTGAGATCACTCAGTATGTAACTTTTTAAAATAAAAAAAACCCTGATATTTCTGCTTTTCTAAAAACACAGAAAATGCCATAAATGTAACAAGCATAACATTGTCCTTCATAATATTTCTGCTGTGGTTTGATTTTCAATGAAAAAAGACAATTTAAAATTGTTAAATGCATATAGGTTTAAATGAAGAGTTATCAACCTTTTTTAATACAATCTCACACGCAAAAATGAAATTGACTAGTTGATAGGCGTCATAAGCAAATTAAAAAGGGGGGGGGGGCTAAACCAAAAAAGGGAAAACCCCAATTTTCAAGCATATATTTTGTGTACATTTGCAAAAAAAGTAGGGGGCTAAGCCTACTTAGCCCCCCCCCCCTCTCCCGGTTCCGATGTCTATGCTGACAGACGTTAAATTAAGGACATGCATGTAAATCCATCATTCAGTTTATGTTTCAGTCGGAAATATAAATATAGATTTTTTTTAAATGAGCTTGATCTATTACGAGAGAGAGAGAGAGAGAGAGAGAGAGAGAGAGAGAGAGAGAGAGAGAGAGAGAGAGAGAGAGAGAGAGAGAGAGAGAGATTCTGAAAACCTCCAAATTTAGATAAAAGTAAAATGTTCATTTTTATAGCTAATTTATTAAAGATAGTTTCCATTTACTTTCTGTTTAGATTAGCTATTCCCTACAGTTTGAAATAATAAAAGTAAACTTTGAATCTTATTTATTCTAGTTTCTATTTAAAAAATAGAATATGGAAATATAAACTGCTGATGTATATTTTATATAAATTCTCTCTTCCTTGACTAACACTGACTCAAACTTCACTCATACGTAGGGTACCAATGTGTAGATGGTGCTCAGCCACCCAATCTAATTAGGTGATAGATCCGCTGTTACAACGAACAATTTGGGACCAATTCAATGCACTTTGAAAAAAATAACATTTCTTTTCAAAGTGCGTTAATATCGATCATATTTACGCACTTTGAAAAAATATGTATGGTTTGGTCAATATTCTTGCAAATCTTAGGTATGATAAATAATTGAACCTAACAAATTTTCGGTGATGAGGTCACTTCAGGAATAGAAATGAAAGTTAGCAGCGATTTTGATTTTTCCATACTGTAAAAATTCTTTCTCTCTTTTATGTTTTTTTCTATAGTTTGCATGCATTTTATGTAAACTAAAATTTATTGAAAGACTTCAACGTCATACCAGTTATGCAAATACATTTTATTGGGTGTAGTAGCATAGGCATCTGTGCGAGGGTGGGTTGGGGTAGGGGGTATACACACAAATATTTCTGCAAAGATTATACATAATATAGGCATTGAGAATTTGGGCTTATCTTGGGGGGGGGGGTCCACTTTCAATTTGCTACCGACGGCTATGTACAATACATAAGGGAAAAAAGAGTTGGACTGAGAGACCCTTTACTCGTCTTCTTGTTCTCGATGAGGTTAGATGAGTACATGTAAATTAAACAAAATTTCGGAAGATATAATTATTACAAATTGTTTCTTTCAATTACTAAAATCAATGTCTAGAATTTTTTTATGCATATTTTAATTTTTTTCAAAGTGAGTCTTAGGTCCCCATGGTAAAAAAAAAATTGTATGTACACTCTAAATGCACTTTGAAAAAAAAATTTCAAAGTGTGTTGATTTTGTTC